CCCGGTATACCGGGCAAATGTATACCGGGTAGTGGCACTGAACCTTAAAAAAACATTGATGTAGGGCAGCATACCCGGCAGTGGCACTTAACTAGACCTAGTATATATTTCGAACAATTACCAAAGCGACTCAACATTCACCGGAAGTCAACAACCACCCGATTTGGTCATTCATAGTAACATATACAACCTACAATTTGCAAGAAATCCTAAATATTAAAATTTGCTATTTTCTTACGTTAAAATTAAATATCTAATTAATCAAACAATATTCTATTTCATTTGTTAGTTTTAAAGTTCTAATCCTTTCAGGGGTGGGGGAATAAAAGTTGCCCCACTTGTGTTCGACAATATAAATCAGCTTTCCGTTATGGTGTACTTACGATCTGTGAAAAAGTTATAGCTTTCGAGGGCTTCTTTTAAATGCTTTTTTAAAAAGATTTTTAAACCTGTAATTGTATTAGAATCCGATCGGTAATCTATTAATGTTTCGGTAACCTATACGAAATAATTGAAAGTAAAATGCCGCTATAAAAGAAATGGGAATTTTTTTTAGACAAATAAAATTGTATTGAATAAATTATTAAAAGGACACTATTCATTACATTAAAAATTTATTAAAAAAATTACAATAGTATTTGCTATCAAGCTTTTTTCACCTAAAGAACGTCTTGTATTTGGACATACTAGTCATAAAGGCTGGGCGATGGACTCACGTTCGTGAGAACGAGGGTTCGAATCCAGCCGGTGGAAGACCCCCCCCCCTCGTAGCAAATGGTGACTAGTACACGTTAAATCTGCTTGATCACAAACTCGTCCTTGTTCCCATAACAAATTATACCTCTGGTGGAACTGAATTGGAGATGGATCGTTCTCTAGTTCAGGTCAAATGAATAGAATTATGAATGGGTCCGTCCTATAAACGGGTAAGACGAATGGGTGTGGCAGAAGTTGAATTTTCGGTCATAGATGGTTCCATTCGTAAACAAGAACAATCGCTCCCCTTCTGCCCTCATGGCCGCCAACAACAACAACAGTTATAAAACCAGATTATTTAATAAAAAGTGCCATCACAACCTTTTTTTCTCTGTCATGGTCAATGAGGCCGTGTAGTTTTGAAATAAATATTTGCAAACTTTTTTTTTTATTAATTGAGGTATATTTTAGATTTCTTACGAAAGTGGGAGTTCCTGCTAAGATACGTACGTATATGATTACCCATAATGACGATTGTTTATAATCTAACCAAACACAAATTAGTTTTACTTTAATAAAATAGAAAAATAACTGAAAATAGGTTTTATTTATGCTGAAGACAAACTGCTAAAACTTATTTAGCTCTTTATTTGAAAAAAAAATCTCAAACAATAGTTTATTTCAATACAAAACACTGAAACCATTCGCCACTAAATTTAATTAAAAATTTAAAATAATTTTACTTTCACTGTTTTTTCACAGTTGAAAATTTGTAAATGAATAATCATATGTTTAAACAAAACTTAATGCTGATTCAACTTAATCTAAAGTT